GTTCTTATCAAAACTCTCGCAAGCTTCCGCGAGACTGCGAGCCGATCTTTTCTTCCCCATCTTATAAAGAAGGTTGGAGTGTTGCTCCGCAGTGTCTATACTGTCGGGATAGTCACTTTTCATCTGGCAATAGAGTGCGTTGGCCTTTTTTAACTCTAAACAACTGTTAGAGTGTATCACCCGGAGAAACACCAACTGGGATACACTTACCTCCTTGGCGAAATAGCGTCAAAGCCTTCTGTGCCGAAAGAAACTGGCTACGCGGAAAATCCACCTGGAGTACGGCAAGGTCTTGCAGAAAGGAAGCAGAGAGGTCATGGAGCTTGTGTCGACAGTACAACAGAAAGATCTTGCCCATGCAGTGTTGGAATATGGGTTGCTGCTCTGGCTCAATGGCATCGAACTTCGTGGGGAGGTAAGTTAGCTATCTCTCTTAGTTCCAAGAGATTTATAAGGTGAATAAGACTCATACCTCTTTCTTGCCATCGACCAGATGACTCAACTCAAGCCACGCACCCCAGTTCCAAGGGTTACGCTCGACACTCTGACAAAGCCAGCTCTTGGCTCGATCTCTGTTACGTTCCCGGACAAAGATCATTCCATACCTGCAGTCAAAGTTAGCAGTGTCCTAAGTGGAAGGGGAACGGAAGCACCCTACAAGTACTCAAGGTATCCGTCCCTGCGGGTTCGAAGCACAGGGTCGACACACGTTTTCTGGAACCAGATTTTCAGGACCCCTTTGATGTAAACCATTTGTCTGTTCACGACTGTGCTAGTGTCAGACGGAGCCAGAGGGACTCCCAGCTGCCGGATCCTCTGCTTCTCGCCAGCCATGAACAGTCCATACAAGGCAAGGAACAAGGCCTTCTGGCTGATGCCTCTGGAGATTAGCGACTTGAAACTGTGGTTTTCGAGCGTAGCATCAGCAGGAGGCATGTCTGCTTCTCCGGTGTCACCCACCGGCAGAAAGACATTGGCACAACGCCGAAACTCACGGTTGTTGAAGAAGGACGTTGCTAAGCCAAGCCTGCGCGCTTCCTTTCGCTCTAGGTCTCCATCAATCCTGTGTGTCTGCAATCCCACGATCGAGATATGCTGACCGGATTGTGTGTCCCCGGTAGCGGTCAGCTCAGACATTGAGTGAAACATCTCAGAACACCTAGGATCCTTGTAAGTATCAATCAACATGGGTATATATTGGTATGTGATAAAGAAGGAATTGATGAAGCAATACATGCGTAGATGTGTGAGTATAATGATATGAGCGCGCGTGTGTGCAAGTGCAAATTGAAGTGTATAGGTAAGCGTAGGTGTAGGTGCAATTGTAAGTGTAAGTGTAAGTGTAAGCGTAAGTGGGTATCGACGGTTGGGCAGTTGGTAAGTTGGGTTGATGGGTTGATGGGTTGATGGTGGTGCATAGGATAGGTTGAGGTCACTTACCATTTGGAAGTCTGATGCAAACATCGCTCCTTACACTCGGCCGCAGTTTGCTTCAAAGCGTACCCGCGCTGGTTCGCTGAGAGTGTGGCAGTAGCCATTGCGTTTGCAACGAAGGTTGGAACTGTCCAGAAAATTGTGGTTGGAAGGATAGTTCGATGAAAACAATAATTGAAACAATTGCGGGGCCAAAGCTATTCAGATCGAAGTAGTAGAGGGAGAACATCCAACTAGTACAGGCGTAGGTTTGCAAATGCGAGTTCGGAAGTACTGCTCAACTGATGGACGAGAGTAACTCCCGTAACTCTGCTGAAGAGTGATCGGACGAAGGTATGGTAGAATTGTGAAGGAGAAATAGTATGATCTATGGTGAAGTAGTGTTGCCAAGTAGTAGTAGTAGTGTCGCCAGATAGTAGTAGTATTGTCAAGAAGAAGTAGTGTGGCGGTGGAGGTGATGGAGTGGTGTGATGAAATTGTAGTGTAATGAAGAAGCAGTAATACAGAATCAGTAGTAGATGTGTAGTGTAGTAGAGGTGTAGTGCAGTAGAGTACAGTAGAGACTGCAGTGAAGAGACAAGATGGTAGAGAAGCAGTGTGGTAGAGAACAAGTGTGAAGAAGTTGGATGTGGGAAGACAAAGTGTGAAAAGATGAGAAATTGTGCAGGAGGGTGGGCGGTCTCAAATAAACAACAGATGACAGGATAGAATCACGCTAACTATGTACATCCATTGGAAATAATGAATCTAAATCAGTAGCCGTCCGTAGAAAAGCCTTCAAAACTTGTTGCCAGTGTTAGTACTTTGGCAGAATCAGGGGTTAGCGCCGACGTTGCCAGACAACGTTATTGGCGGTCAAGATGTGCAGCCAGTAAAACAACGTTTGCACATCCTAGCGTCAAATATTCTGCAGTTGCAACTGCCAACTCTTCTCCAGGTGGACTTGGTGGAATAGTTCGTAGGTACAACGAAACATTCAGGAATATCCACGCCGACGTCGACGCGTTAGGGCATCGTTCACTGAATCACACGGCGCAACCGGCTAAGCACATGCCTAACACCATGGCAAGAACAGTAAAACTTTCACACTACAGTTTAGCGAGATCAAATCATTATTCTAGATGGGAATCATTAAATCGAAATTCTTATTTTTTTTATTCGCTGCCAGAGCCTAAATCGCCTAAGTCGCCTAGGCACTGGCGACTGATACAACTACCACAATCACTGAACCATTTTTTTTTCGAACAGAATCTTCTCAATTTATTCTCCATGATTAACCTTAGTATAGGTATATTCTAATCAGATTAGCATTTGCAATCCGTTGTCTTATTAAGTGTGCTAGGTGGTCGAGCCATAATCAATCAGGGGATCATGTATTACCTAAGCTCTACCCCTTTTCGACATCTAGAGCCGAGTGCACGGACCATACGGCCTTCATGGCCCCCATTTCACGGAGCGATCCGACACGACACGTGGTATCTATTTCCGGTGCAGATCGAGGTTTGTGTGATCCAATATTAGAATCATATCCCCTGTACCATTGGACATCCTGCAGGGTTCGACAGGGTACCTGAAAATCCCACGATGACGGCATCTAGTCTTCAAAGCCTTGATTGTTTCAGATTCGCGTGCATTCCTATTTCTGTAACTTGTAATTTATTCTTCTTGTGCTGTTGAACGTTACTGTGATCTTGTCATTTCGCGGGGTTCTTGGCTGACTTATCCCAAGTTATCTCAATCCCCTATGTAACACCATGAAATAGACGAATGGGATAGAATGCATAGCAACTGGAATAATGCGCATGAGAAGGCATATCTACAATGTGCTCATGTCGCTATGTATTGAACCCGTCAAATTGACTCTCTCCGAAATGTTTAACATGTTCATTTTCCAGCTTCCATTTTCTGAAGGATCTGCACCCCCAACCTAACCGCCCTGGCATCTTTTCAGGGTTCAACAACCCCCAAAGGCCAAATAGCATGCTTAACCATCGTGGGATGGATCCGGGAAGGGTTAGATTGACGTCAACTCATCCTCAAAAAGTAAACACTTTAAATCCATAAATCCCAATAGGATCACCAAGTCTGAAATAAAGGCGTTCGTCCGATGCGCTGCCCAATGAGCGATTGCGATTATTCCGAGACCATGGCCAATTAACGTACATATTCTTAGCTTGTAAGAAAGTGACATCGTATATTCCAAACGCTGTACCTGGCTGCGCCGTAAGCTATCGTGAAACATCTCTGCGCTACTAACAGGTCTTGGGTGCCTGATGTCGTGAGAATCCTCCCGCTCCCAAGGCTTACTGACGTACAGTCAGTCGTAGAGGATCGTAGAACAGTGACGGGAACATGTATATAAGTAGCCGTCCCACGATCGTCATCTTGTCTCTCCACCACTCACCAGCTGATTCGAAAAAATATTCCGCTCGGGTATTATATATCGTGACATCGATAGGAGCCTCGTGCTTATCCAACCCGACTATCATTCACTCCCGGGAGTCCACTCACTGAATCCCTCTACTTACCAAACCATACATACATCCAATCATGTTACGACCCAGCCTCACCATCTTTTCCCTTCTCCTAGCTACTGCCGCCGCCCTCCCGGCCGGCACACTCTCCAGCCAACATGCGAACCACCTAGAGACACGCAGTAGCTGCGCGACACAAGCCGAGCAAGTGACGAACGGCTCCGACACGAACGGGCGGGGCGTCCAACTGGAAAACGGGGACAGCCAATCGCGCAGCTTCTTCGTGTACGCGAACAGCTGCGACTCCATCCCGCTGCAATACGTGACCCTGAGCGCGGGCCAAGACGCCTTCATCTCGCTCCCGCAAGGGTTCCAGGGCCGCATCGTGCGCGGCACCACCGACGTCAACCTAGACGGGCAGCCGCACCTGCTGGGCACGTGGCTGGAAATCGGATTCGACGCCAACGATGCCATGGGGTACGCGGACGTGTCGCTGATCCGGGGCTGCGACGGCGCGGTGACCGTGGCGGCGATGGACGGCACGGGGGCTTCTACCGGGTTCACGCAGGACGTGCTGAGCGGCGCGCCCGACGACGCGCTACAGGCTAACGATGCCGGCGCGATGGTCATCAAGGCCACCGAGGGTCTCCTATCGGCTATCGTCTCGGCGTCGCGCGACTACCTGGCGAGTGTGCTTGGTTACGATAAGGCGTACATCGACGACTTCCACGGGAACCCCGTCATCGCCTCGAACAATCAGCGCTTCAGCGCTACTTTCTACGCTGGCAAGGCGTGAGGGTACCACATTGACTCATTAAATTATGTACCAACAGACTTGTTTCACAATTTTTATTTTGTTTTAGCGTGGCGTCCAGGTTTGAACATGTATACCATATACCAGGATCATGGACCTCGGGAGTACGAGTCATGGATTGTATGATTTTTCGGAGGATTTTGGGGGGGGGTTGGGGGGGTGTTTCGGAGTTTGGGGTGGTGTGTGTTTTACCCTAGTCTAGGGCAAAGGGGTAAAAAGGTAGAAGCGAGTCCAATCAACATCCACGAGTTGACCGAACACAGCAAATGAAGATGGCTTGCGGTGAGTGCGGATCGAACGCACGGCCTTCAGATTGATGAATTCTACCTATACAGGTAGTGTTCCTGAAGTTGGACTTCAGTCTGACGCTCTCCCAGCTGAGCTATCCCCGCCGTTGTTGAATTTCATTTTGCTGGCATGGCTTGTATAGCACATCTCGGTATAATCTCGGGCGTCGACCATGAGTCGATCACACAAAGATTATTTCCACTTTATATGTACGATACTTTCCAGTGTTTATCTTCATGATATCGTATATACATTGTTTCATTCTGTAACCCAAGATTTTTATTCATACAAATTTACCAAAGATTTCTCTTTCATATCACTTCGATCTCTTGCACGGCATTTTAGAGTTGAAATCATCTTCAGTGCCGCATCTTGTAAATTTGGATTTTTTTTTCTTTTTGATTGTTAACCGCAATTTTGCTCTTCAGAACCTTGGAAACTATATATATTCCTAACAGACTTTATAAAGACCCGCTACGGCATAAAATACCTTCATTGGTATCGTATGAGAAACACCTTTTGCAAAGTCTGGACTCTTAACAGAAGTCCAACGCTATGATACCCAGCGATCATATGTCATTATACCCAATACACGGCCCGCAGTCGGGACTGGGATGTAAGGCACGTCCCCAAACCCACGCGCGTCCCGCTTCCCCCGTGTAAAGGCCGACGAACTCGTTGCTGCTTCCCATCTCCCTCAACCAACCCACACGCTCCATCTCCGGCGTGCTCATGAACGCCGAGAAATGTTTGAACCTTGCCTCGTCTCTGTTCCGCTCCTCTAGGTCGCCACCACCGCCGGTATCAAACGCAAGCGCATTCCCCGCAATCCCGTGGCATAGACACGGCGGCTTCGTCAGCAGTCCGCGTCTCCATGTATCCTCCTTCGCCTTGCGTAGCGCATCCCGGATGCGCCCCTCGAGATCCGGCCACAGATAGGCTAGCCTCGCAAATGAGAGCGCAAAGCCCGGGCTGCCGTGGCAGAACTGGACGAGCCGGTCCGGGTTGCTGGAGCCTGTGGAAGATGGGAAGCTGCCGCTGGCGTGCTGCGCGTCGAGTAACCGATTTAATATAGGCTGTACCTTGGACGCGACGGACGGCTGCGAAAGTACGAGCTGGCAGATGATTCCCGTGGTGCCGTGGGCGGCGCCCAGGTATTGCTTCCCATGCCAGGTCCAGGGCTGCGGGGAGGCCAAGATGCGGTTCACGGTTTTCTCAATGGTGTTGTTGACGAGAGCAGTCGCCCTGTATGTGGTGGGGTGTTGCTTCTCGGTGAAGGTTCGACATAGCCGTAAGATGTAAAGGTAGCCGGCGCGGCCGTACAGCCATTCGTTGGAACCCTGGTCGCCATCTTCGCCCTCGGCGTTGATCGCGGGCTCGAAGGCGCAGATCTGATTTACTAGATGTGTTTCTTGCAGCATAACCGCAGTCAGTGCTGTGTGGGCTAGGGTCTCATTCGCGATGCCGCAGTTATTCGGGGTTGGCGGACTCTTCTCTTGGCGAGCGCCTAAGGCGAGATATGCTTCAGCCCAGTCGTAGAGTGACTGCTGCTTGAACTCCATGTTAGGGAGTATCTGTGATAGCCGGTAGAACATGTATGCGATCGACGTCGGACCGCTGTAGAAACCGCAAAACTTCCATCCCGTAGAGCACGTGTGAACCGGAGGTTTGTTCGTGACAAGTCTCTCGAGGCTATCTCGGAACTCTAGGACCACCAACGCAGTCCGAGGAGGTTCCGAGGGATTAACAAAAAAGCGGCCGGAGTTCGAAATCATGATGCTATTTACTGATGTATACGAATCCTATCCTGAGTCACCATCCCAATAGATATTGATTTTCGGCGGTGAGGTCTCAAGCTGCTTTTTTCAGTGTCAAGAGTGTTGGTAAACCAGAAATCAGCTGGTCGAGATGGGTAGAAGTTGTACGGCTTGTCTGAGGATGTTAGCAAGATGACGTCATTGTTCGTTATTACAACCTTCATAGTCAACTGCATTCTTTCGTATTTTTGTCATCAATCGATATTATAATATGGGAGTTGTGCTTGTCCTGTTGGGAAAGGTTCGGAACGCTCCTTCTACGACAAGGGTCAACATCAATCGCAACCTCAACACATCATTCCCCATGCATGGAAAGAGTGCGAAAGATACAGGTACCTAAGTAGGTAGGTAGGTAGACGCCATTCAGATTATTCACTTATAGAGATAACTTATCGGGTGCTCTTCTTGATCTCGCTGGCGTAGACGACAGGGTCCAGTATATTCTCAAATCAGGTAGTAAAGAAATCTCACAAGCCGAGAACGAAACCGATACGAAAATGATACTTTGTAATTGCTCGCATACCTAATAAACTGCCCTACAATCTCGGAGCAGTAAGTTCTGCAACGTATTAGCCTGGATCCCAGCGCGTTGATACTGATACTCTTTTGTAGCACCGACGCTTCATGATGTTACACGTTTCCACTTCCCAAATCAATCTAAGCAGCAGCCGCCTCCGGAGCAAATGCATATTTCGGCATAAGCGCCATTCTCTCCTCCGGGCTGATGTCGTCGTCGTATATCATCTTCACGTTCTTGTCCTTGTCTTTCTTTGACTTCTTCTCCGCCCCTTCGGCCGCAGGTTCGGCGGTGGTGGGGGTCTCGGGCTTCTTTGGTGGTTTAATTCCCGCCTCAGCCATACGAATAATTTGGTCGATGTCGTCACCTTGCTGTGCTGCGCCAGACACAAGCTCATCGATGGTCGAGGCATTGCCTTGCCAGCCAGCTTGTCCAGGACGCGGAGGCAATCCGACAGGTGCGGTAAGGTTGCTTCCAGGGCGCGATGGTAGATTCGGGGGCGGGTATGCGCCGGGGTATTGGGGAGGAGGCGAGTAGCCAGGTACGGCGGCTTGTGGAGGGAAGACGGGGTATTGACCACCAGGCGGAGGGAAAGGCGAGTTCTTTTGAATCACAATTAGCACGTGTCCAAAGCTCAAATCATGAAATACTTACGAATGCACCGGGGGATGCACTTTGCGCAGGACTCTGTCGTTCAGGCAATCCTTCACGGGGTGTGTGGCCCGCGCTTCCATTATTCATAGCCGTCTTCTGAGTAGCAAGCCTCGCACGATGCTCCGCCAGTCGCTTCTTGATGTCTTCGGGTGTTTCGACCTTCAGCTTCTTGGCTGGGCCCTTTGAATTCTGGCCCGGGGGCGGGTTACCGGTAGCAGCATACCGTTCCGCTTGCGCCTGGTAGAAGTTCTGGATAATTCGCTGGTTGTGCTGTTGGACGACATCTTCGGGGATACCCTCCATACCAAAGATCTCGACGTCGAGGCCTTGTCTATTGGGCAGCGCATTTTCGACCGAAGACAAGGATTCTTTGTGGACTTGGTTCATATGAACGGAGAGACCTGAGCAGATAAAAGTTAGCCATATTGTCGCGTCGAGTAAGCATACACTGGATCGCGATTCCTTACCTCCGGCCGTATTTAATCGTCGTCCGCATCGATCGCACTTGAAATGCTTAGCCTTTTGATGGGAAATCAAAAGCTTAAGATCCTCAAAGTCTCTCTCACCTACTCGATACGTTAGTAGGTCATTTTAGGCATGAAGCAAGTGTAATGCGGCGTACAGTAGTAGCACCAAGGACGCGAGAGGAGCTCCTCGACATCGGGGTGACCGCGCTTCTTCTTCCCCATGGCTGTGGAATACGACGAGTATCTGAAGTTGAAGTTTTTAAATGGCCGACTTCCGCTAGGTAAAGAGTCGATATAGAATCGATGTAATTGGGTTGTGTTCTCGATCGAGGCGAACAAAAATGCAGCTGTCGTCGCGCAAATGTTGGACAAGGATGAAGGCGAGCAAGAATAACATTGATTGGCCATCATATTGTTGTGGAGATTTGAGCTTCAGCCACATAGCCACACATTCACGTTCGCGGCACAGCCACAGCTCGGTATCATTATCGCGGCGCATCTCACGGATTTATTCTTCATGAAGTCGTCCAACTACCTATTGTATTCAATTGGCGTCTCGACTCTGAGGTGCTTATTAGGGACCACATCAGTCCTACTTCCTGAACTTGGAGATAGGTACTAATATGCATCCCACCCAAGTGGTACATCTGCTATTCATTATACCTACATGCAGCGTGCATCGTGGGTCTGTCTGTGCAGATACATTTGAGTCCTAGTGACAGATGCCTAATATGATCAAGCCTTATATTCTTAGGAGTTAAGTACTTAATCTTCAATGAAAACTCAAGGACTTCGAACAATACTATTCATTCTAAATAGCCCTAGCCCGGGAGAAAAGTTATCAAGGATGTAGGTAGGGTATTGGCTTCCATAGCATCATGAGTTATCAGCCGTACTTCAACGGTCTCAATAGCGTCACCCCTCCTTATACAATCCACCAGACTCCTCAACCGTCTTCGCCATCTTATCAAACTGCATCTTTACGAACCCCTTCTCAGCATCCACCAGCGTACCAACCCACTGTTGCTCTCTCCCGCCATCTCCCTTCTTCTCGCCCCCATCCGTAGCGCACCGCACGCGCGCCTCCCCCAGCAGCGTCGGCGGCATATTCCGGTAAAAAGTCTCGTACGCGCCGCGCGGGACGCAGAAGCTCTCGTGGAAGATGCCAATGTGCTTCGGCCCTGCACGATACGCCCACTCCAGCGCGTCGCGGTGCGTCTTGGTGGCCGCAAACCGGCGGAGGCCCTCGGCGTCGCGGAAGTAGAAGACGAACATCATGGTGTTCTGGCTGTCGCGGTCGCCCGAGTGCCAGCGAGTCAGGCCCAGCAGGCCGTACTCGTCGGCCTTCCTCTGCACGCGCTCCATGCTCTGGAAGAAGTGGTTGCTGACCTCGGGGCCGCCCGGGCACAGGATGCCGAGCGGGTGGTTGAAGCGCACGCCGAAGTGGAACACAACGACGGGGTGGGCGGCGGGGTCAGAGGCCGAGGCGAAGAGGCCGGTGCGGCGGTCGGGAAGCTGTGCCGTAGTGTCCCCTAAGACGACGCCGTTCATGTATGGCCCGTCGTGGCGGACTCGGACGTACTGGACGACGGAGCTCACAAGCGAGTGCACTGCTAGCAGCACAGGCGGAAGCATAGCGAGCCTCGGCG